CTGAAGCACAGCATTTAATCACAGAATAACTGCAACCAGCAGAACCATTGGGGCAAATTTCCCATGGTTCCTTACTAATTGCCTTATTTTTAATACACAGCCAGCTCCTTGGAACTTGGATTCCCTGTATCTGCAAGCACTTGTTGTCAAATGATCTTGAAAGTCATTTCCTTCCACATCCTCAAACCATCCCAAAAGACCCACATTTGCCAGAAAGAAATCAGCTGGTTAGTGGGATTTTAGGCTGGACAATTATGGACTGTATTTACCTGCCCACAGGTAATTACTATAGCCATGCGACCTCTTCTGCAGCTGACATTCATAGCACTCATTCCATCAGTATAACCCTCCTCAGGAGAAAACCCAGCTTAACTCTATTAATAGTGAGCACGTGTGTGCACTAAGTATCTGTAGCTGCTCCGGAGCTCCAAGAATGTGGCCTGTTAGCAGGGGAGAGTTTGATCCAAGGAGATCACAAATGTCTGGTGTCCCATGAGAAAACAAGAAAAGGTTCTCAATGAAGTGCCAAAGCAGATGTTTTACTGCATAATCTCACCAACAAGGGCAGGTAAGAGGGCTGGAAGATGACACAGTTAATTGAGCAATAGCCCTTCAGAAGCTGTTGATGGAGAAGGAGGCAGCAGCTCAACCCATCTCTCCTCATGTGTCTCCACTGATATCAGATATCGCCTTCCATAAGCCTGTGCTCAGAGCAAAGAGACAAAAATTGCTATTGATAGACCTACCCCACAGACAAGGTCCTCTGCTGCAAAGCTGCAAGCATCTTGCATGGTGGAAATTACATCAGAACACTAGTTTTATGGAAAGATATTGTTGTATATAGTTTTCAGGATTGTAGGGGAAAAAAACAAAAGTACAGCCTGCCTTGACAAATACTGTCATACATTTAAGTGCTCTATCTTCCAGTCCTGATTTGTGCAAACACTTCCAGGGAAGCAGGGTATTTTATCACTGATAAATACTAACTACGGAAAATGGCTGCTTCAAAGACACGGCTGATGATATGGCAAACAATAGCGTGATCATGCAATGCATGGCCACAAACAAAGTTAATAGGCATTTGCATTCTACAGCATTAACCATCACTGTCAGTCATCAAAAAATAAAATGCCAGTGAACAATTCTGCAGTGGTACAGGCAGGATTATTAAAAGATTATTTGAGAAAGAGCAAGGAGAAGGTAGTATGTCATCAGAATTTGGGATCAGTACTTTGACTTACTATTGAAAACTCTATGTACTTTAAGATCTCAAACCACAAAACAATGCTTAATCTTCACTTGGGCACTACAATTCCCTCCTTTATCACATTATCTGAGCACATCACACTCTAATTATAGTTATCTGAACAACACTTAGTGAGATTGGGAAGTACTAATCTTGTCGGAGAAGCCCCTGAACATAGAGTAAAACCAAGTCAGAAACAATTTTTAGTTTTTAAATGCCAGCTAAGTACACTGCAACCAGTGGGGAAAAAAATGTTCTTACACTATAAACAACACTTCAGAAAATTTGCCTGTTCGTTATCATTAACCCAGATCCTGAAGTCTTGGCTCAAAATTCAGAACAAAGCTATTATTATGAGGAAGAAATGCATTATAATATTTGTATTTCTGAAAGCATCATTTAAAACATATCAGTTTTCAGAGAAAGAAGTAATACTCACAGCATCTCAGTGGGATATTATAACTTACTCTCAAGAGGTACCCAGAAGTGCTTCTCAATATTTTAGTATCTGTTAGGCAGTGATTGCAATGTATTTATTTCTCTCTAGTGGGTACAGAAGTAGAAGTTAAATATGCCATCTTCCTCTCCAAAGTATATAAGGGACTGTATCCTCATACCCAAGCAAAGAAAAAAATTATCTCTTCCACATAACATCCTGGTGTGGAAAACAGCCCATGGTGTGTCTTAATGAGCACGGACCAGTGGCCACATTTCTTCAAGGCATCCTCTGTGAAGAGCTTCAAGAAGTTCAGGCCTTGTGCAGATGCTGTGGAATAGTTGATACTGAATTTAATCGTGGTGTTTCCTTTTCTGCCACTTCTTCTGTTTCATGGCTTTTATTTGTGTTGCTTTACATGCCAAGTATTTCTCCAAATCTCAGTTTTGTTTTGTTTTTATTTTTTGTGTTTAAGTACAAGTCAGACTCTGCTGTTGTGCTTTTAAAGCTGACCACTGCTTCAGTAGCTTCCACACAGCTAGTTTCAATTTTTCCCAAATCTGAGTTTCAAAGTCCATCATTATGAAACAAAGGTATTGTTAAATTTCGTAGCAAGACTTTGTTTCTGATACTTTGTGGATTAAAAGAGCTCTCAATACCCTGCAGATCACCAGGGAACTTGATGGCAACTTCAAGCCTCACTGAGAGTTTAATAAGCTGCTGCTGAGTTATATGACACCTGTTAAGTTTATGGAAAAGATTTCTCCAGTCTGCTGCTGTTATTAGTTATCAAATACCATAGACGCTAGAGAGGACCCTGAACCAATATCTGTGATCTGAACTACAGCAGAAATATTGGGACAAATATTTTTGATTCCCAAGCTTTGAAACAGGTCCAAATTTCAGTCATTTGCTATTTCTATAAAAATTTGACCAGAATGATCAATCTTAGTATTCCTAAAAACTGGAAATAGAAAGGAACTCTCAAGCTCATCTAGAATTTTCTGTTTGGGGTTAATTATCCTCTTTTTTCATCTCTGCTAGTCTTACTAATACTCTTTCATGTGAAAGGCTCCAGATACAAGGACCAGGAAATTAAGGTCTCCAACCATAAAAGAGGAAAATACCAACCCAACATGTCCTGCTGACACATTTCAGTCCCGAGGTGGAAGGGATGGCTTCAAGGCCTCCACGTAAGAGAAAGTTCTGCTGAGAGGCCCATTTCATTCAGAAGTTTAATAATGTAAGGCCATTTTACAGAGGCCAAAACCCTCCATCAGTCCATCAGTGCTGCAAACGCAAGAGGCTTGGGAAATGCTTAAGTCTTTCAGACTTCATGTCTCATAACTGAGTTTCTGGAAGTGGGACATTTATTTGGGCCATCACCCATGTCCGTGCTCTGTGAGCATGCAAGTTTACAAAGCAGCCTTCAGTGGACAGAGCTCTCTCCTGCATGCACCTGCCTCTTCATGGTCGTGGGAGCTCAGTTACCTGTGATACTTCTACTTCTGTATTAGCTCCAGATAAATTCAACCAACTATCTTAAAAGTTATTGGAGAAGTACATACAGACTGAGACATTACCCTGCTTATACACACACAAGCACAGAGTCATTGAAAAGCCTATTTCCATAGGAAACTAGGGTGAGAAGAGTATTTAGATTTTTTTCCTTAATGGATATGAAAGGATACAAATCATACTCTGAATGTATTTCCTCTATATTGGCACACCATAATGAAGAGACTCAAAGAAATGACCATCCAGTCTCAGAGGCCCGGTTATGCTGGGAGTGATTCAGTTTCAGAACTGCTGTAAAAATAAGCACTGGGATCTTTAAGAATCTGAATTTTGGGTTGCCTTGCTGGAGAACCATCAGGAGCAACAAACCAGCTGATGACAGAGGGATGCACGTGCAAAAATGCTTAGCAGGAGCAGCCCCAGGTGAAGTGCCCTGGTCTGCCTGGCAGACAGGACACGTGTGTCACCTCCAGATGTGACGTGAACCACTTGCTGCTTGTTCACAGCCTTTGAAGTGCTGTGCAGAGAAAGCCTGAGCCGTTACCATAATTAGAGGAGATACATCATTTACTGGAAGAATGAAATGAGCTGTAGTACCAAACCTGCAGTTGACACTCACAGGGTGCAATTGAAATCCTTCAGATTAGTAATTCTTTTGAGATCTCTGTAATCACTGGTAATAGGTAGTGAAATAAATCCACATTTATATCCTACAGACTGCAGCTGTGCTTCTGTTAAAGTAGTATTAACTGATGGTTTTTAAATCCTTCTGCCAGCTCAAGCTGTAAGCACCGAAACTCCTTTGCAGAGTCTAACTCATCCTGGGTGATGTATGTTCCTGAGCATGAAAGTGCTGGTTAATGAATAATGAAAGCACCAAGGCAGAACTGCACCTCGGGGCTTCGCTCCTGCACTGAGCTCTCTGGGGAGAGGTCCCCGCGCAGCTCACTGTGCAACGGTGGTCTCAGCTACCCAACTGCAGCTAAGACTGGATCTGGCTATGGATAGCCATGCTAGAAAATAGTACAAAATATTAATGGAAAGCTTTGCCCAGATAGACAGTGCTGAACCTCATCTTGTTCAGTCAAGCGAGGGGTTCAGCCGGGCAACTCTGGCGTGGTTCCTTCAGGTATCAGGAGTGCACACTCATGCCCTGACACACTGCACAGGCTCCCAGTTAACTAAACAAATATGCCATTAAAAGCTGAACCAACCTTGAGGGGGACATATGGGTTTAAATTGCTGCAGGAAGAGATTTATGGACTTGTTTTCCAAGCCTAGAGAGTAATTGAAGAGGCCTCAGACAGTTCAACATTTACCAGCTCTGATAAGGGAAGCCAGGACATCGCTGGAGACGAGACAGGAGGGGTGATGGGTGCTAGATTGGCATTTGGCTTTGCTGTGGAACCCCAGCCACAGAGCAGGGACCCTGAGTGACAGTCACTCTAGGAACAAAAAGAAGCTTTGCAAACTCAGTATGCTTGTAAGATAAGCACAGCACTGATAAAGTAAAGCACAGAGAGATTAAAAAACTGAAGAGAACGGTATTAGTGGCAGACTGAAGAAAAGAGCCCAGGAATCCCAGCTCTCCCTTCCTTCAGCTGGGTTTCAGTCCAATCTGCCCAAAATTTGTGACCTTAGAGATTGTTTTGTGATGGCATAAAAAAATCAGTGACCAGCCCTACAGGAGAGTAATTTACTTATACAGTCCGAACGGAAGCGGAAATAAAGCAGAGCTAGCAGAAGTGCATTTACCTGGTTCTATTCCTTATGTGTCATGTTTGTTTTGTTTTCATTTAGGAATCTACAAAGGACATTGCTTCCGAATCAACCACTTCCCTGAAGACAATGACTATGACCATGACAGCTCGGAATACCTTCTCCGTAAGTTGAAAAGTGATACCTAATACATGGAATTATCAGACATAGCCAGAAAGACCTTCCTGGTTTTCTCTTCTGTAGAGTCCAACTCAAGTCTTATTCATTGGAAGAGGCTGGGCCAAACTGGGTGGCATAGAGCAGTGGTGATGTATGTTAAGTTCATGCTACAGCTGACACAATCGTGACCCTTGGGGACCCCTATTTCAAGGGTTTCCTTCAGCCAGTGGAACATACATGATTGTGGTGCTCATTCTCTAAAAATTATATGGAAATTTTTCAAATGAAAATGATAGCTATCATTCCCAGCCTGGCAAGGCTATTTTACAGAGGGAGTGTTTATCTGATTAGTGTATCAAAACAGGTTTGAAGAGTGGGTTCTGGCTCATCAGGAGCCTTTTCCTAATGCTTAAACACAACACTTATGCAAGCCTTATCCTTTGCAGTTGCTGAGCCACCTCCCCCTGCAGTGAAATTATTGCATTGTAGGAAGGAAGTTGAAATTTCTGCAGCTAACAGCAAAATCTCAGCACGATCATGAGCTGCGGCTTCCCTGCACAGCCAGCCAGCCATCGCTGCTCTGTGCTGGTACATAATCCCCTACAGAAGTAATTTCATCCACCAACCTGGTGCTTGAAATAAGGGCAGTCGTTTCCTCCCCTCCGGATGACCATTCACTCAGCTGATAGGAACTCTCAGAACCCGAGCATGAAACTTCATGAATCCTGCAAAGTTTGAGTTAGATTTCCCCTTCCCTAGCAGATGCCTTGCCTATGTATTCCTTTTGAACAAAAGAGCTGACCAGCCAAGCTGAAAGCAATGCCCTTTACCAGAGAAAGAAACTGCAGTTCACAAGGTATTGGGAAAGCTTCAGGGAGCCATGAATGATGCTGCTGGCTGATACACCCGGCAAGGCAAAACACTCCTCAATTACACTGCTATTAATTACCTGAAACACCACTTCGAGAATCACTGTGCCCTTCTGCTCACTTCTGGGAAACAACATCTAGTTGCTAAGACAAGAAGAAAGAAAAAAAATATCTGAAAAGTACATTTTACCAGAAAACCCAGGGGTTTTTTTCATCTTTACTCTTGTCAATTTAGATCAGTCATAGCGCTTGGGTGACATGATTTCAGTGCTCAGGCGAAGGCAGTCTAGCAGAGTGTGAGCACAGCTGCATTTATCTTTCATACAAAGCCTTGGAACTAATGTTAAATTGATGCCAAGTCAGCTTTAGGAAAGAAATATCATTAGTAAAAGGACTGTAAAGGAAAGAGGAATTAAGTAGCATCTTGATAAAAGCGTATTAAGCCTTCTTTATTTGGAGAAAAGGGAGAACTGGGAAAAACAGTCTACAGCTCCACAGTAAGACATGAGACTGGTAAATTGTGTGTAAGTGTACTTGTGACGAGTGTTCCTAAAAGCTGTTTTCAAAAGTGGCTAAGTACAGACCTTAAAAACAAGTTGGTCCCACCCTTGATGTCTTCTGCAAAATCAGCCTTCAGCTGCTCCCTGCACAAGTTACAGGACTCCTCTGCTTCAACTTTTATAAGAAAAACTGCAGCTCCACTTAAAATGCATATGGTTGATTTAAAGATTACTGAAAGGTTATGTGACTAAATCCAGAAGAGATGAGCTCATACGTATATGTAATAGGGACCAAATCATTGTCTAAGACAAGAGGATATTTGCATCCTGTTTCAAAGGAGACATGAGACCTTCTGTCCCATTTTTGCCCTTTGTGCAACACCTTTGCAATTTGCTGTCGCTGTATCATTCACCACGCTTTTCAGCCATTTCTTGGCACAAGTTTCTCAGAGGGCCATGTTAAGGGTAACCCTTATTTTTCCTGTCTGTCATAGACAAAGGCACCAACTCTGTGTGTATCTTGTGTTTCCCTGAAGAACAGCATGAGGGGTCTCAGCCTGCCTCACAGTGACTGATTCGTATAAGCTTCAGATAAATGTAAACATTATGGTGGTAGTAGAACTGAGCCCTGGTTCAAAACCCTATTAAAATCAGTGAAAAAATTACTGATTTTAAGAGACTGTGGTCCAGGGTGTGGGTAGGAGCAGGAGTTTGGATTTTCCCCTTGGACATTCAGGCAGCTCCCTGCAAAACCAAGTGAACAACAGCCACAGTGGCAACTAACACGTGCAAAGGGGCTCAAACAAGACCTTTCCTCTTGAACCTTCCCTCTGACAACACACACCAATCTGGGGGGCTAATAAAATCCCCTTCCCATGTCTGTGCAGAGCCCCAGAAAGTGGCAGCGGTATCGCTGCCGTGCACAGAAAGCTCCTGCAGTCTCCTGGGCTGCTGCCTGCATCGCCCAGCCACACACGTGTGCTCCGGCTTCCCTCCTCTCCTTCATTTCTGCTGCTCCAAGCTGCTCTCATTCAGCATCGTACGAAGCACACGCACCTCTCCCTTCACAGATGAGAGCATTTCAGCCGTACTCATCCCCACCGCGCACGTGAGGACATCGCAGCTCTACTGCGGTGCAAAAGTGCATCCATGAGGAGGAGTGGGGGGACCCCATTTTAGGGACATGTCTACACTTCCTTACGCTTCTTCCCCACATGCTGTAGCATCCCCTTTTCAAAGCCGTTTGCTTGGCTCCTGCCTTTCAGAGGAGAATAAAAGCAGGAGCAGAGAGCCCCCCGTGGGAGGAGCAGCACGGCATGCTGCGGCACTTCACCAAAGGAGGTGTCAATGCATAGCAGTGCAGAACAGCCGATGCAAAAAGACAGGACAGTAAACAAGAAAAAAAATAAATCAGGGGAGAAAGCAAAAACCAGATTGCCTTTATGTTTTTTGATGTGCTGTCACATTATTACCAGCATCAGGAGCCACACGGAAATTCTGCAAGGTACCTATGAGCTTCCTTTTAAATTTCAGAGCGAAAAGTACACACTGTAAGAAAAAACATATTGTAGAGTTTTACAGGAAGAGAACACTGTGTGTTTTGTTTGTCTTCACATTAAGTACCTAGAACAGAAAAATTATCTCTGGAGATTATTGCTACAAGTAGAACAACCCACCCCCTATATTTGGCATGTCTGGCAAGTTCCTTCTGATGATATCACTGAAGCATTTTAGGAAGTCTCTTTGATTTAACTGAGATCATTATAAACAGCATGACCATAAAATATAGGAAACAACCAGAAAGAGTGGGCCATGGTAGATTCTAAACCCATGCTGCTTTTTGCCAGAACACTGACAGACAGGCAGTGATTTGAGGTGCCTTCATGTACAGCAGCACAGAGACTGGCATTGAATCTTTTTCTAATAACTGACTCTAAAAACTGACCCCAAAGTCAAAGCACTGTTACTTCGTACCACACACATGGGGATACACCCAGGACAACAGAACGGGCTGCTCGCACCACTCAGCGGGCTTTGATTAGAGACCCGACACCCTCACTACTTGAATTTGCCAATTATTGCAAGACACTGTCTGAATAGTAATGCATCCAACTGAATTGGGTTTAGATGCGGTTAGAAAATGCCCCGTCTGTAAAGGACATGTGCAGCGACGTTGCCAGTTTTGGTAAGGGAAAGTACTTTTCTCGCTGTTGCAGATGGATACAGGCATAAGCTTCCCAGGCAGGGACTGTCTTTTTTGGTTTATGTTTGCACCATCCTAATGAGGGCTGGGCCTGTAGCTGGGGCTCCCCAGGGGCTCTGCAGCACACACAAAAGCAATGCTGTTATTAAATGCCTGGTCCTGTCCCTCTTGCAGTCAGTGGGAGTTTTGCCACCAGTTACCAGGGGAATCGTTAGGAAGCGATTCACTAAATTGAGAACACCATGGCCATCAAAAGTAAAATGAGAAAGCATCAGCTGTAACATCTGGCCGTTTCTCCTCGGGAAACGGGCGCCGCTCGCTGTGCGTGTCAGCCAGGAAGATGGCACCCAGGAGAGACCCCATCGCTAATGGCTCCGCATCAGCAGATCGCTCCAGATGGCAGTTTTCTCCTCTCCGTGCACTCAGCCCGGGGTGCCCGTGTCCTCCCAGGGTGCTGGAGGGGGTTTTCTGACCCCCCACTCGCCTTGGGATATCCCCACGCCCCAGCACCCACTCACCCTGCTGGGGCCCCCTCTGCGCCTTTGCATTTCCACGGGCCCCAGCTTTGGGGCAATCCTGTATTCAGCACTTTATCTCTCCTTCTTCAACAAAATCCTGTCTCTATAACAATATAACTCGGTTCCTCACTCTGCCTTTCAGGAACACCTACCAGGTTTTACCCCTTTGGTTTTTACAATACAGACATCTCTACTTGTGCTTGTTTATTTTTGCTCAGCCCTTTTGTTCCCTCCCTGCCGCTTCCCTTTCAATTGCTGCTTAGTCTTGTAGTGACCTGACTTTGAAAGCTGGCTGGAAGTGGTGTTTTAATTTTTTTTTTCAGGGATTTTATAGCCATGCTGGTGAATGGACTGAAGCATACAGAATTTTAAATGACTCTACTTAGGTGTCAGGAAACTAAACACAAACATCTGAGACACACTTATTAAAATTTCTTCCTTAGAAATCTGAAAGGTTTCAATGTTCTTAATATTCAACAAAAGAAAAAGGGGTTATTAGCTGCACTTGCTGGCAACACAAATGCTACAGAGTTCAAAAGCTGTAATTTGCTCACCTTGTGCATGTATCAAGGAACAGATCCGTCTGCTCAAGCCATCCCCAAACATTGTAGGGTTCATAGCCAGCTCATGAATTTTGCCCTGCCATTCCTTGTGTGATACTGGGTTTTACTGTTGCTTACCTCATGCTTTGGCAGAAATGTTCTGTACACGGTGGCATCAGATAATGGCAATAATGCTGGACTTTCTAGGAGAAAGCTCAAAAGATTTAAGCTACTCAGTTGAGAGTGTCTATGCCACACTGGCCACCTACCCATGGCCTTGGCTCCCAAAATCATGCCCAGAAATGGAGAATCAGTGATAATTCCAGCAAACACCAGGGGTTTTGAGACTTTGCAATCTCCACACTTGCACCCAAGGAGGCATCTGAAATGATTACTGTCTGTCTTGGGTTTCTACCTATCTCCCCTCCAGGTATTGTCCGTGCCTCCAGTGTGTTCCCCATTCTAAGCACAATATTGCTGTTGCTGGGAGGACTCTGTGTCGGAGCAGGAAGGATTTACAACAGCAAAAACAACATTATTCTCAGTGCTGGGATTCTCTTTGTTGCAGCAGGTATGTTCTCCTTAAATTGAGTCCTTAAGAAATGCTGTCATTTTAAACTGAAAAGGACTGTGGAAAAGCTTGTTGGCAGTTACCTCCCTGTACCACTTTCCTGGATCTAGGGCCCTAGCAACACCACACTAGGCAAATTTCTTAAGACAAAAATATGTTTTTGAAGCTCTACAATAGGTATACAGTAGAAAAACATTTAGTTTTCCTGAAAAAGGAAGCTAAAGTCAGTAACAAGCAGTTTTTAGACTATTTAAAATGTAAAAGATGAATCGGGCATCTCTTATATCCATGGCCTTTTTCTTTTCTTTTATACGTGGGCAGAAAAAATTCACCTATGATAGGCAAGCCCGTTTTTCACACTAGAAACATCTAAGAGAGTCAGCCACATTGTTAATAGCTTTCCCTGAAGCTTGGATTAAGCATGCTGCATTTAGATGAAAATTCAGCAAGGTGGAAGAGAACTTATCTTGATCAAGGTGAACAGCCATAGCCCTGAGCTCAAAATGTATTTTTATTATTTTTCTGAATGTTAGAATCTCACTAAAAATATTAGTGAGCTCCCATATGCTACTTCTTTCCCACTGTGGCAATGAAGAGATGGGAACAAATTCTGTTGAGTATTTTGGGATCCATGTAAGCATGTGACCCAGATGTAGAACTGTTCTTCGTTTTTCAAGAATAAATGAAATCTTGAGATAAATGAAAGCATAAATAAGTGTAATAAAATTTCCTAGTCATAATCTTTAAACTATTCAGGTCCAGAAAGTAACATATTATCTCCCCAGCCACATGACCATTGATTTATGTTTTTCTCTCTCTAGGACTAAGTAATATCATAGGGATCATTGTCTACATATCAAGCAATGCAGGTGACCCAAGTGACAAGCGAGATGAGGACAAAAAGAACCATTACAACTATGGTTGGTCTTTTTATTTTGGAGCCTTGTCTTTTATTGTGGCCGAAACCATAGGTGTTCTGGCTGTGAACATTTATATTGAGAAGAACAAAGAGCTGAGGTTTAAGACCAAGAGGGAATTCCTTAAGACTTCTTCCAGTTCTCCTTATGCCAGGATGCCAAGTTATAGGTACAGGAGGCGGAGGTCCAGATCCAGCTCTCGATCTACAGAGCCTTCTCCATCTAGAGACATTTCTCCGGTTGGCATGAAGATAGCAAGCACCATTCCCATGAATGAAATTTCCATGTACACTCTTTCCAGAGAGCCTTTGAAGGTTACAACAGCTGCCAGCTACAACGCAGACCAAGAAGCCAGTTTTCTGCAGGTTCACAACTTCCTTCAGAAGGAATTTAAGGAAGGACTCCATGTCAACATGGTCAACAGGAGAACGACACCTGTTTGAAGCACCTTCCTTCCTCGCGCTTTTTGAAGAAATATTGAAACAGAATGGATCTGTCGTGAAAGAGAAGGAGTGATGTTAAAATACCCTCTCACCTCTTTAATTGTGGCATGTGTTGAGGTAGCAAGTGGAGATCCTCTGGACCAACATAAAGATATCACACACTCGTAGCTTTTTTGGAAGCTATTAAGAGTTTGTTTCTTTCAGTTCTTGGTGTCACAAGATGAAGGCAGTTCATGTTCCTGCACTTTTGTAGTGTGTACAAAGTCTTGGAGAAACTGCAGATGACTTGCCACCAGTGTGTTTTACAGGATTACAGAAAAATTGTTGTACGATGTTTTTTTTTCTAATATTGAGATCCCTTAATACGAACTTGCAGATATAATTTATAACGAAGCCCAAGGATGAATATGAACGACTCATCAAGTGAGCCACTTTCCTTTGACGCAGCATAAGCTTTGCCTCTTTCAAAAAAAAAAAAAAAAAAAAAAAAAAAAAACAGAAAAAAAGAAAAAGGAAAAAAAGAAAATATTTTTGAAGGCAACACTTTCTAAAACTGACCTGTGGCACTGAAACCGTAGAACACCTGCGTACGGAGCATTACAGACTCCCTGATGGGGTGGTAAGGGGGTCTCCCATTTCTGGGTGTAAGGCACCCCTCGGGGCAATGCAGGTGCGGGAGAAGAGGGTGAGTGCATCTTGAAACACCTAGAAAGGGAAGGATTAAAGTAGGTGGGACTTGAACATATTTGCAGATATCATTTCTTGCCTAACATTTAGAAAACTTGAATTCTCATTTCGACTAGCCCTAGTGCCTGATCCGGCAAGGTGCTGAGTGCTGTCTGTCAGGAGCCCCTATAGACTACCTGTAGCGAGAGCGAGAAACAGCTGAGCCGGGGTGGCCCGCGCAGGCGAAGCCGCCAGTTCCCTGCGACTGCATTCCTGTTTTCCTTACTGCTTCACAAGTGCAACACTAACGCTACTGGAAACTAAGATATCTCAGCAATGTGCATAAGAAAATGAGAAGCTAATACATTTGGACTCGCAAAACTTCCTGCAGCAATGGGAACTGAGTGTTAACAGAATGGATGACAACTTTGTATTTTTTAAAATAGAACAAAAATAATCACCGTTTATGAGATATTTATTAAACTCTTTTTATTATGAATAAGTGCCGCATGGTGCAAGGTATAGTTGCTTTTAGATGGAAATTATGGTTCGACCTAATTTAATTTATTTTGTAATGATGAATCTACTTACGTGCAAAGAGCCCACAGAAAACTCTATGCATCACCTAAAGGGGGGACAAATTTGTACCCTTTGCTTCTGTATGTTTCTAAAAAAGTCTGAAATATTTCTTTCTTTTAAATTTCTGCTTTCATTTTTTACACTTAGGCTTGGAATCTTAAAGCTCGAGGGCCTGACTCAAAGATAATTTAATTTCGTAATACCGATCTTGATTTTACTGACCACTCGACCAAGCCATAGGGGAATGAGGTGCCCCATTCCCCTTGGATGAATTAGGTGCAGTGAGAGAGGAGCATCTAGTTCCTGTAGATTCCTTTAAATATACCTATCATCTTTGCCCGGAAAATCTTTGCTACTTGAAGACTAGAGAAGTGGTGACAAGAAAAAAATTATGATTTGGAAAGCTTGGCTCACTGATGGTGGGAGACCTCAGCCAAACTGCTAAAAACCTCTTTAGTCTTAATTTGTCCTGCAATGGCCGCAGCATCAGTGACTCGGTGGTGTTTTGGATATGAGGCTTTCAGCTAGTGGAACCAACTCCTCCAGGGAAATCCCAGAGGAGCTGCCTTAACATCCCAAAAAGCAAGTTGAACCCCCCTCTCTCCCCAGGTAAACTCTGCTTAAGCCTCTCTCCTTGCAAAAACCAAGACGCAGTTCTCAATTTTAAGTGAAAGTCTTCCCCTAATTGCTGTTAAGCTCTGCCTAGCCCTCAGCCTGGCAGAGCGATATCATTATTTTGGCAGACGTGGGTTGCAGCCTTCATCCCTGCTTATTTAGAGTTTCCATTCAGGTTAAAACTCTGCTGGGATCCTTTTTCAAACCTCTGAACTCTGAGAGCTAAAGCAAATGGAGCGATGGGAACGATTTTAAAGTAGAAAATGTGCTACTTTCTGTATCAACACACTATGGAGAAAGATGTTACACAAGCTTTTTAAAAAAATTCAAACAGAGGCAGACAAGAAAACTTTTTTACCTACTTTTCGGCTAGGACAACATAAAAGAGTTCTAAAATTATTAAAGTTCTTGATGAAAGGTTTTTTTTACAAGAATCTTTATGCTTTCAAACAATAAATTATTTCCTACTTTTTGAGACTTCGTAATATTAAAATACTTTGATTAGCTATGATAGAAGTAGAAGTTTGCAATGAAAAAAAAACCTTCTGTCTCATTAGTGTGTCATACTAAGTGCTAATTAATTTACATCTAATTATAGTCAATGTATTTTTCAAGTGCAATTTCCCAGAACTATTTGTTTCCCACTGTGTTAATAAACTAATAGTTAGAAATAAGTCCTCATCCGTGTTTACTGTAATTAAGATTAAAACCATTCCCTTTAAAACCAGGAGTTAGATATAGGCTGTTTTTCTAAACTCATGTACATTGAACTGGAAGTTGACAGTGTGAGGTTTGCTCTGCGCGTTGGTTTTGTTCATTTAATTGTCATTATCCAGTGAATGTGTTTAAAACCAACCATCTAATTCCAGCCAAAGTCCAAGGCTTTTCTACAGCCCAGGTCAGACCTGCAGAGGCACGTGCAGCATTTTTACACCACTTTGGCAAAAAAAAGTCTTGCCGAGCATTTCTGGATGTTCCTCTTTGCCAGAGCCTCCTCCTCCCAAGCAGGGCTGCTTTCAGCAGCTCTTCGAGCACCGTGCCCAGCTTTGGTCCAAGCCGGAGCATCTCCTCCTTCTCCAGCAAGCACTTTTGAAAAATGGAGCTAGAGTGGGGAAATATTCACAGGATGCTCTTGGGATACGGAGTCTGGTCAGGGAACAAAGGCACGGGGAGATAACAGGGACCAGAGCTTTCATCCTGTGGCAGAATGGGGTCTGTAATTTAAAACTCATGGTCTACGTCAAATTGCAGCGCAGTCATTTGTTCAACCAAAGCAAAAATAATGTTGTTTCATTTGACAATTCTAAAAAATCCTCCAAAAATCAGTCTTTTCCTGGGGAAAAAATTAATTCTGACAAAAAAGTTTGCAGCATTCCTGCCCATGAACAATGTCTCGCTCTATGGCTGATCTATCTGGAAAGATGTAGATTGTGCTTGGACTTTGAAACCACTCAGTAATAAGTTAAAAAAAAAAAAAAAAAAAAATCATCTCCTCTTCCACATCTCTCTGGTTTCCCTGGACAACACTGAACACAAATTAGCCCCCATTTCTCAACAAGGCCTGCAGATACCATCATCATACCATTAACAATCATAGGTCTTTTGATATTACCCTATAACATTCTGTAACAGCAGACCTAAAAACAAAATGCAATTGGATCAGATTGGATTTTCCAAGAAACAAAGTTTCAGGTATATTGACAGCTCTCTCTTCCTAGTTTCTCATAGAGAATAAGAGTAAAAGGAGAAATCACTTCATATGCCCGTACATCTAACAATATACTATTTTTATATTTCCTTTTCTTTCTGTATGGATCACATATCCGCAAGGGCTAATATATCATGTCCCTTGAGGTTACATTTCTGTCTGCAGTTCTAAAGTGTTATTTCCACTGTGCTTCAGTTCTACTGGTATAATCACAACCATGTATAATGTACTTAATCCTTACTTTTTAAATAAACCATTTTAAATGTATTCATTTTTGTGTGGAGAAAGGTATATAGATTTTAATTCCAAATTCTCTGAGCTGAGATTTCTGTATTTATTTTTTCACTTTTCTACCTATTTTGGTTGCAGCTGGGAATGTTACTGGAAGTCAATATATCAGAGGAGAAAAAAACCTGTTCTTGTGGTCCCACAGACCACAAAATCTCCGAGATAAGTTATCTTCACAATATTTCCAGTCATTTGGGTTGAAAACTAAGAAAAACCTTCTAGTTTCCAGCTTAAACCTAGCCCATCTGAGACACAGTCTGGTTTCAGTGCCCAGTTTGAGACTGGTACGGTGGCCAGAGGCACTGCAAACCACCATCAAGAAAAATAAGCCAGCGTCTTCTGAAGTGCTAGCTCCGAGCCTGTACTTTGCCTTCACCTTTTGAGGTTTCACATTATTTCACTTCCGAGCATTCTCCTCTCCCTGATCTTGTCCATTCTGCCTGAAGAAAGCTTGGCCCTGTGTGCCGAAGCTCCGTGAAGCTCCTTGTTCTGATCACCACCATAAAATCCCGGCGGTACGAGCGGTGCCGAACACGGGTCAGCAGTTCAGCAGCCTCTCGCCGCTCCCAAACATCCCAGACCATCCCTGTATCAGAGGCAATATTTCTTCTTCAAATACTTCTTTTAACTTTACCTTCCCGGTTCCCAAGCCTCCAGACTGCCTTTAAAGATGAAGACTGCCTCCGTATCTCTATCTGGCTGCCTCTCGATCAATTGGCACGTCTGGAGGGAGGCAGGGAATTCATCTTTTCAAATGCCTCCAACACCCAGTAGTGAAGCCATTTAAAGCTCAAGCCCAAAGCTGGTTCCCTTGAAATAAAATAAATAAAGGCTCTTCCCGCATTGCTGAGCAAGTCTGTGGGTAAATAGTGACCCCAAGAGCTGTGGCTGCCCTGCTGTGAACAGGGATGTATCAAAAAGTGATGTTGTTCGAGGGGAAAGCAAAGACAGAGTCCTTAAGGCTTCAGAAAGTGGGAAAAGAGTCCAGCGAGGAGGATGTGACATTTCTTTGGAATAAGAAAACTAACAAACATGGGAGGTGCTGAAAATAAAAGGGAATGGCGAGTGCTCTGCACCTGTCTGCAAAACGGCTCGTCTTACAGCTGCCGCTGCCTCGCTTCACGGGCGCTAAAGGGATCACTTACCGAAATGGCTCCCCAGCACGGCGGCCGTATTTTAGGAGAATGAAGCTGCGGATCGGACGCGTGGGCAGCGTGGGGATGGCCAGCCCTGCCTGCACGCCGTGGGGCTGGGAAGAGGCCAGGTTGTGTCCATCAGTGCGGGATCGTATCTCCTTCTTCATGCCCACAGGAGTCTACTAAAAAAAAAATAAAAAACAACAAAAACACACCCGCACATTTTGCTCTTGCCTTCAGCGATGGCAGGATTTCATCCCCGGAATTAGGGAGCTTTTGGAGTGTGCCATTGACAGTATTCCCTGGCATCAGCTATGCAGAGTCGACCATGGTCCTGGTGGTCTCACCACACCAGGGCAATGCAGGCTCAGGAGTTCAAATATTTCTAAGGAGCTCCCATCTGAAGAAAGTTTTTTGCAGAAAATGAATTTAAACTGAGAGCTGCCCAGGCACAATCTCCTCCACTCTGAGTTACTCTCTCCTGGGAAGGGTCTTCTGCAGAACATCCTTCTGCAAGAAGGGAACCACAGAATCTGGTTAATCTGGTTGTGGTAAATACTGAGGCTGGTCTGAAAGAAACACAGAAAAGTGCAAGTTCTGGGGAGCAGAGCCAAGCCAACACCTCTGCTAGGGAAAAAAATAAAGCAATAGTTGGTCTTGAGACACCTCCTTTAGCACTTTCTCCAGTAGGGAAACATAATTGTGTCTCTCACTGCTGCTAAAGTGCAACTAATTACAGCCCTCCCTGCTTCCCAACAGGTCCTCATTAATAGCCTGTTTATATTTCATGTGATATTGATTTTTAAATGTAAATACTTGCCAGCTGACACAGGGAGACTGCAGGAACTGTTCCTGGAGGATTAGGTACCGTGGTCTTCTGGATGTGCAGAAAACTTCTGGGGTTTCCTTTAGTCCTTTGCTCCTCCAGAAATCAGTTTTGCTTCTGCATTTGTCAGGTGCCCACCCGACCCATGGAGCCCACCAGCCCCCAGGGAGGGCAACTTCACCTCCACGCTGGGACAGAAGTTCACCGGCTGGGAACAGGAGCTCAGTCCATGGGCAGGGGATCTTTTTGGCTCTCACCACAGCAGCTGCAGGGGCCACAAGCCGTGATCACCAAATAACTGCCAGTGGTCCCCAAAACACACCAAGCCTGTGCCGGGAGGAGGAGGCAGCAGTGCCCTTGAAATGCAGCTACATCAGCTCATGTAGCAAACCCACAGAGCCTGTGGGGAGCAACAACCCCACAAAATAGTTTCTTTTCCATGGATCAGTGGCTCTAGGTCACTATTCCGGGGCTGGGGACAGTGTTTCACCTTAGCTGCAGTAATGTGGGTTTTGGAAGCTGCTGCCTCTCCTGTTGAAGCTCATTGTGTCTTGTTCACACACCCAGCTCCACTCTGCAAGGGAGAGAAGGGCTAATTTTTCCCTTCTGGTTTCACTTTAGTTATTTCCTGGATATTATTAGGAAACTCAAAACCAAATCATGAGGAACTTCTCCAGATCAGAGTACCTAAGTGAGAACAAAAAATAAGAATCTTGTTAACACTGGAAGAGACACAAAGACCAACACCAACAAAAAAATTAATGAGTTCACACCCCTGCAGTCCTTGTAGGTTGTAATTAATCTAAAGCATGATTATTAGCACTTGCTTCCTCAGCAGCCAGAACCTTGCTTTGTACCCACATTTGCAAACACACATTCACTTTCCTACACTCAACTTGCAGAGGTCCTGGAGAGTCTGTAGCATCAAGGAAGCACAGTCAGGATGCAGTTCCTAAGATCGACTGATGTCTAGTGAAATTTAACAAGAGGCAACATCAAAAGAAAAGGCATTACATTTTTAATGTATTCCTTTTCTGGTTTAAAGTCCATTCCCTTTAGGATTTTCCACTTTCATGAGAACTTTTGGTTCTGGTTTAAATGTAAGCCTCTAATATTTCTCCCAGCCCCAACCCGGCATTTCAGAGTCCTACACAGGGCTGTGAGCATCTTCCTACAGATGTGCCTGTGGTCTCTGCTCCCTGCCTTGCCCCATGCATGTCCCCAGCACCCGCCCCAGTCCCCTTCTCCTGTTCCACACACCACGTATCTTCGCTCCTTCCCATCACTCCCACCCCCCTGGCAGGACGAGGGCATCAGAAGCCCCTAACCAGGTTCGGACACGTCACCCTGCTCCCCAGAGGTGTCTAAGCCAGCCCAGTCACAGTCAAGCAGAGTAACGTTAACCCCTTTAAGTCATATTTCGGTAAGTATTTTTGGATCAATATTTTTTAATTTATTATTTATTTTCTCTCCTTTTCCCACATTCCCCTTTCACCTTGGCTCCTTGTTTCGGATTGCCCTCATTAATTTGAGCTGACACCTCAGCACCTTTATTTTGACATCAAATTAGGGTGTTCATAAAACAGAACTGGAGTAGCTTTGACATTATCTTGACATGATAACATGATATTTGCAGCTTTCCACTGGCATTTTTTTAACCATTCTTCTGACATTCAGGTATTGTCACTCTCCTCAGTTTGACATAACAATTGTAATGTCATCTTCATTGTGGCCTCTGCATTGACATTATCATGAAATTAGCTTTACGATCAGCTGAAATATCAAAGGGAAGAAGAGAGGTTTGCCCCAGCCCCGGCAAGCTGGGTTCAGGGAGAGACAGAAGTCACTTCCAAAAGAAGGAAAAGATGTGCCAGGTGAATGCTGGAAATACTGTATGCAGTGAGACAAGCCTGGATAATGGGAAAGCAAGTGAGCACTTGAGAGGTTTTACATAATTAAAAAGAGGCAAAAGGCACAAAAAAAAAAAAAAAAAACCCCAAAAAAAAAAAACCAAACAACCAAAAAGGCTATCTAGAATACTTTCAATAGAAATAAACAATAATAAAATAAATAAGTTTGCCTATTTTGCCGCTTTATGCTGCAGCACTCAGCTGGGGGGGGGATGTCCAGCCCTGAACTTGCAGAAGCTGCACCGAGCCGGAGGCAGGGGCGTGCGGTCTGTGGGCTCTGGGGCTATTAAACTATTTAGAATTAGACTGAACCCAGGCCCAACGCTATTATAAACACATATATTTTTATAACCTCGCTGAAAAGCTAATCATCCTCTTAATGCCTATTTCTGGGCACGCCGCGAGTCGAGAAATTACAGCCTTTGGACGGCGGCTGTAGCGACCCTGAGCGAGCGCCCACCCGGCCGGCCCGTGGGAATCCAAAACACACCCGGCGAAAGCTGAGCTCCGCCGGGCGCTGCTCTCGTGCCGTGGGTTAATCGCCGCGCCGGCTGACACAGCCCAGCAGCTGCCCCTGGCCGCCCCGCTCTCCCCGGGCGGCGCGGGACCGCTGACATTTCCAAACGCTCAGATGCGCCAGGATTTTGGGAGACCTCACGAGTCGCCCGCCGCGCTCCGCCGGCAGCAGCTATCCGGAGCGGGATGGATGAGAGCAAACCCCTGAAGGTCCGGCTGACGTTCTCCGTGATCCTGGTTGGTGTCTCGCTCCTGTTTGCAGCTGTAGTGACTGACCACTGGGCCGTGCTGAGCCCCAAAGTGGAGAAATACAATGCCACCTGCGAAGCGGCTCATTTTGGGCTATGGCGACTCTGTACAAAGCGGATTTTTATGCAGGAGCAAGGTCCCAAAGAGAAGGGCTGTGGGCCGATAAGCCTGCCAGGAGGTAGGTGAGCACCCACCAATGCACGGGAGAGAGAACTAAGCGGCCACGCCGGGCTTTGCTAAGGAGGTTGCAGGACGTGGCAGAAGGAAAATAGGGTCCGTGTTGCTGTGACGCTTAATTTGGCATGGGGCTGCATGGGGCTGTTTTCATGCTGGTCTGTATACACACCTCGTTTTCATCCCTCTTGCTGCACGTGTGTGCTGTGCTGCCTTGCACGTCTGTTTGTGACCGTATTGGAGTCTCCTGTGCAACACCGGCAGTGGCGGGAGAAGGGGAGGAGGATCAGGCGCGATGGAAATCACAGAGTGAAGCTGGGATGGAGGAAACCTTGCTGACGTCAGCCAAGGGTCCTGCAGCACCCAGGCTTGCTGACAGCAGTAGGCAAGAAAAAGGATTTATGGGTCCACCATACGTAGCTGGATCTTTAGGATTTCTAGATCCATATAGCTGCGAAGGAACAGCCTGCTCATGCCAGGCATTGGGCTATCTCTGAGCTGCTTCAGTATCAACCGTTCCTCAGGGCACGGAGGAAGAGGTACTTGCAGTAGGTTTTGCCAACTTCCAAAAAAAAAAGTCATAAACTGAGTTTGAAGCGACTTCTCAGCAACTCACTGAGCCTCTTCACCTCTCGGCGGAGGCAGCCGGCTCCCACACACATCTCCACCAGGGGTTTCTCGGGTGCAGCCGACAGGGAGGGCAGCAGGGCAGCGGGCACGGCTGCTTTCCGGGAAGACCATTACATTCCCGTGGTTAAAGGAGCTCATTATGTTTTTGCTGATCGCAAAGTCAGCAACATTCACGCTGTGTGCACTAATACACTCCCTCCGTGACTGAGCTACGCTGCTTTTTTAGAAGGCTCATAGGCTACTGGATGCTTTCCAGAACAGAAATAACAGGATCGCCTTCATGTTAGACTCGCTGCTTGAAATGAAATATATATGTTAACACGTATTTGAAAATTTCCTGTGAAAAATGTTACTGCCTGGGCTTACTGTATATTCCCTGTATTACTGCAATTCTTTATATCTTTGGCCACATTACATATTCTGAAGAGAAGAGCTCAGCCACAGTGTTCAGATCTGCCTCTAACCAAATTTGGGAGTGTGTCATCTGTATGCTTAATGTCTCTCACGAAGGTACTTACGTGCCTAGAACCATATTCCTCACTGTATGCCTTTCCTCACTTGCAGAGAGTAACTCCCACAAAAGGAAAAACAATAGAAATTGGTGGCTAAACACCAAAATTGCACAACTGCGGGGTAAACATAAAACTCATAAATATCCAGCTGTCTGCAAAAAGCAGATTCGCAGGCAGGGCAGCACGAAAGCAGCTACTATCTTTGACAGACATCAGCATGTGCTTGCACAGGCATTGAATCACATCCCAGCGCTGCTGTTCTGCCTGGCACAGCAAATAACCGGCTGATGATGGTGGGGTTGACCCACCCACCCCATCCCAGATGTGGTTTTCCAATTTTTAAATATATTTGGGAATTTGGATGGCATCTTGTGTTGTAATTGGCATCCAAGGTTTTAAAGGGCAAAATTCGCACCTCAATTATAATATAAATATTTTAATCCCTCTTTTACTCACACGAGGAACACAGCGTGGGGTGGAGGTGGGGAAGCACAGCCCCTGCAGATCTGGGCTGCTAAACGGTGCTGCGTCCACACGGCTCGTGTTATATTGATTTCACACTTCTGGGAAGAGATTTCGGCAGGGAAACACCGGGGTTGTGAAATCTGCAGCAGTTGAGAAATCGTGAATGAGCAAACGTGCAGTAAAAGAGCAGATGTGGGCACTGGTTTTCCTGAAAATCGTAAGACATAACCAGACATTACTGCCAGGGCTGGAAAAGTAACATAAGAATTTATCACTGCATTAATAACCATTTACCAGTCACTCCCTGCGGAGGAAATGGATGGCACGATTAACATTATTTATTAGGTTTTGAGCTCAGCACAGTGCAAAATGGGGAGGATGACTTGGCTTGCAGTCCACAAAGCAGGGCTGTGATTTAGGCAGAGCTTTAAAATTTTACAGCACTCTTCCGAGGATGTTGACAAATTGGAAAGGGTTCAGCATCCTGCTGTAAGAAATAAAAAGATCAGGGAGATGGCTGTTAAAACCAGGCAAATTCAGATTAATACTGAGACATTTTTAACTGTGGTCAGTGGGCACTGGGGCAGTTTACTACCAGCTGTAAACTGAATTAATGCCAGTAAAGCCAGTGTAGGTGTTGTCCTCCAAAGGGAGCTGTGGTGCTCCTGCACGCTGGGCAGCAGCAGCAGGGATGCTCTGGAGCCTGCGTGTGCTGCCAGCAGGTTAAATAGGTCCTTGTAAATATGACACCTGAGTTCAGGCAACTGGAGAGGAAAAGTGCTCGAGCAAATGGGTTATCAGCAGGGTTGTCTCGTTCCCCGTGTCCGCACAGGAGACTCACTCTGCAAGACTGGTATGAAATTAAAATATTTGAAGACACCATCTCCAAAACTCAGTGTGTCAAAGGCCTTCCCCTGGCTTGTTGGCCAGGTTAGAGCCCAAGGTCTGGCCCCCTCCACCACTCAGCCCTCACCTTAACTCCTCCTCTAATCACAGCAGCAGGTCCTGTCTCTTGACACAAGTGGAAAACTCACATTAAAATCCAGGTTTTCCTAACCACCCAGCCTGCCACAAAACCCCACATGCTAGTGCCCATCTCCGGTTCAAGAGCAAGGTGGGCTCCAGCCCCTCCCCAGCCTGTCACCCCAATGCCCATGGGTGACAGCTACCACCTGAACCTCTGCATGGCCCCAACGTCTCGTGGCCCTCCTGCCCTTTCTTCCCCCACGTAGGCTCCGTATCGCAGACCCCCCAGGTTCAACCACAGCCCAATGTGATTGCATTTTGACTGCGTCCCACGGCTGCAGTAGCTGCCATCCAGCCCCAGGGCGGTGAACAGCAGGAGAGGTTGGCTCTGCGTGAATAGAAGAAACATGATTTGGCCCATTTGCCCCTGCACAACGGTCACCCAGGAATGTAGGATGTGAAGGGAAGGGATCAGGAGGTCTGGAAGTGTGGGTGACCTGGAAGGGGGAGGACACTGTGTGATAAACCTCATGTTACACCCTGAAGTTCATGCAAGCCCTAATGACCACAAAGCCCCTGGACTGTTCCCATCAGCACACTGAGGTGACCTCGTGGCAGAGATAATGCAATTAGAGGTGGAGAGAAACAAAGATTACCACTCAGTTTTCATCCATTATAAAACCCATTTTAAATCCTATCCATTATGTAAATGTGGTGTGACACAAATGGGCTTTTCTCTTATTCATGACGGCACTGGAGCGGCATTGAAGTGCCTCAGTTCTCTTGAATAACAGGGAGCCTTGCTGAAACAGATATTCCCAGCTCAGCAGAGCATTGAAGCATCTTTAAACAGAAAACAAAAAAAAACTCCAAAAACACCTCCACTAGAGCTAACCCCCTTCTGTGACAAACCCATTTATAGCACCTTGGCAAAGCTTTGCTATAAGACACAAGACACAGAGGTAGCTCCTTTTCCTGCAGACAAGTCCATCTCCAAAAGAAGGGTTTGTGTGTTCCCCTGCTGTGATGAGCCTTCACAGGCTGGAGGGTGGACGGGGCTGGTTTGGTTCACCTGTGATGGATACAAAGCTGTGCTGTGTCCCCCATCACGCCATGGCTGGATGGCTTCACCTCGGGCTTTGTGCAGTCAACAGCCTGGGGACTCCTTTCAGTTCAGGGTTTTCAGAGAATTAATTAAAAGCCAAACCAAACAATCCAAAATAAAGTGTCCCAGTTTCATCCCATCTCCCTCCCCTTTAGCCCAGGAGCAAAAGGATCCCCAAGCTGGGATCCCCAAACATGATGCTTAGCCTTAGCCACCACTCAGTTGCTGGCAGAGGCACACAGCCTCTGCTCTGGGGCTCAAAATTTGCCATTTCAGTCATAGAGGTCTGAGTTCAAATATGTTTCCTCCAGTCATTTGCAAGGTTAATAAAGAACAGATTAAGAGTTGCAAGAGCTAAACATTAACCTAGTTGCCAGCAAGGAGAAGCTGCAGATGAAATAAAAGTCAGCTTATAAAATTAAGTAGATAAGAGTGTCTCAAAGGAATCCTCCACTAACAGGCCCAAAACCACTGCTTTACAATTGCCAATCTCCTGGGAGAGAGAAAATAAATCCTCCTTTACCCAGTAACTCCAACATCTGTCATTTACGTGACAGGAAAAAACCCACAAGAACCAACAGGTAACATACAGTACACTGGTATCTTCTTGCCACTAGAAATTAATGCTGTGAATAACCACCAAAATACACTCTGTGCCCCCAGGCAGAAACCTGCAGAGCTCCCTGCATGATCCTGCACCCGGGGCCCAGCTCGGGCTTTACCCCACAACCTTCCCTACAGCAGCCTGTCCCAGCCTGGGTGCTGGAGAAGACCAGCATCTCCTGGAGACTGGTGCTAACCATGGCCAAGAGATGCTGGTGTTAACAAAGCAGCCCCTCGCCGCCAGCAGCGCTTGTATTTCGTGCGATCTTGGCACGATTTCCCGGTCTGATGGGAGTCCAGCCCCGGGTGCAGGAGGGGTGCTGGGGCCGGCGCTGAGCGTGTCCCCTCCAGCCCAGCTCAGCAGAATAATGCAATCAGAGCTGGCGCCGCTCAACACGTCTCCACGATCGCACCCTTCCAGCCAAATTCCTGGCAAGCAACTGTTGTCCCAGCTCCGTGCCCCTTCAAGCCTTCAATTAAATCGGTTATAAATAGCGAGAACACCCTCCACCCTAACCCTGCTGCTGCCAAAGCTTTGAGTCAGCAGGTCCTCACCAGATCCTTCCCCATCCCGCTGAGGCTGAAAGCCTCCTGTGCATCTACTGACAGCAGCGACACTGCTTCACTGTCTGACTCCCACAAGGCCGAGTATGAAACAATATTGTGGCTACTGAGAGATTCATCTACCAACTTCTCTCCTCCCAGTAGCCCCCTGCCCCGCAATCTTGATGCCTGTTCCCTTCATAACCACTCTATAAATACCCCCACATACCTGGCAGTGTGCTCATGTTAAGTCCAGATAGAAGAACTTCATAAAGTTCCCGCTATCTAACTCTGATATCTTATCAGATTAACTCAGTAGACTGCTCTGATGGAAGTGAACTTCAGTAAAGCCAGGTTGCATGAGAACCCCTTTGACCTTGACTTGCACGCTTTTGATTGGCCTTTCCTTCCCTGGACAACTGTTTAAAACTTCAGATAGCTTTTGTCTTTTTTACTGACAGCCAAAAAAAAAGCCCTTAGTGTCCCTGCTGTAGTAAAACACGGCGTGCTTTGCTGCATTGCAGCTGCCTCATCTCTGGGACCCCTGTAACTTGGTGACACCCCCCAGCCATGCAGCAAACCCCTGGGCTGCTCCCCCCTGCCAGCCGCTGCCACACAGGGGTCTGTGAGCTGGAGGAGGGAAGAGCCGGGAGGGAGAAGGTGGGTGAGGACACTCCATCCTCCCTTTTTGGAGTCTAAGCTCACCACAGGAGTGGTGACCCTCCTATGGCCAACGGGGTGGAACTGCTATGGAGTGGGTTGGCAATGGCGAGGGGAGGGGAGATGCCAGGAAATACAGCTGAGAGGCAGAAACATGTGATGGCCAAAGACAGAATGAGAAAAATTATCTGTAATTCTTATTTTAAATAGATGAGCAATCAGTGTGCACACCTCTCCGAGGGAGCAGCCTACGAAAGGTATCAGAGGAGGCTTCAGACTTGTCCGTGCTGGAGCAAGTGACCTGGCATGAACGTGCCACTCATCTGCTCCCGAATAAAACAGATCCAACTCCAATTTCTCAGTATCATCAAGGATATGGAAACCTTAAAATCATTGCAACTTTGATACATCAATAAAAATAAAATTCAGCTTTACTACATTTTATCAGAGATTTTCAAGCACACAAAATTAAATCTCCTTTCTCTTTCAGAACACAACTGCTCCTACTTCAAGCACTTCACACCAGGACAGAGCTCAGAGATATTTGAAGTTACCACCCAGAAAGGTAAGAATGATCCTGAAAAATATTTTCCTGAGGTGCACACAAGATCAAAGGTAAAGGGGTCCCCAAAATGAGAGATCAACTCTGGTTCCACTGGGAGCAGAAGAAGAATTAAGAATTTCTATCAGATACTATCAGCTGGGAAAAATGTGAAAAATGCTTTGGACAAGGGCTGATGCCAGCTTCCTGGGAAGAATAATTTTTATTTAAGATCACACTCATAAGTGTGATTTTCCTTAAAGTTGTCCCACAAATATATAACAATGTCAATACACATGAAAACTGCAAAAAGTCTTTTCAGCATAAAAATGACTTTTCGACACTGGTACTATTGGCAACACTCTGAGCCTTTGCCATCAAAGGAAGAAGACATTAATAAAATCTAAACAAATAAATCATACTCCAAGCAGAATCTTGACCCTGAAAAGAAGTACAGAGACTCTGTGAAGACCATTAGGAGTTTTATGCTTCATATTGATTTTATATGAAAGTCATGTGAAAACCTGAGGGAACAATGGAAGGAAGGAACAGAGATCCCACAGACACCCACAGTCAGTGTTTACAGAGCATAGATTTGAAAAACAGTCTTTCACAGAGAAATTTCACGTTTCTAACTAAGTCCCCGATACAGCCAAATATTTTTAGCACTCATCTAATATGCTCCTCCCTCTTTCTCGCACTCATTAAGGACAAATTCCTTTCTAGTTTGCCACACCACATATTTTGCTGTGGACTAAATGAGCTGATGATTACATTACACATATTAAACAATCTGCTTTCCTTCCCATGGAAATGATAATGGTGGGAAACCCTGCACAAAGGTTTTCTAAGAAAGCAGTTTCCTAAGACAGGAAAGACTGGGAATTTTAAGTGGATAGGAGAGCATCTATCTGAGCTACCTGCTTTTGCTCATTTATATACTATCAGATCCAGCCACGTGATCTTAAAAATGCACCCAATGCCTTCTTAGTAATTGCAGAAAAAAATCAGGAAGAATTTCTTTTCTTTGAAGTAAAAGAAAAATCTTAAGCCCCAGCAAAAGATTTCACATTGAAATGAACTCTTTCAAGCAGTTGTAGCGCACAGTAAAGAGAAACATTAAGGAAATTATAATAAAACAGTGGTACGAAAAGCGATGAGAACAAAGAATGATCTGCTATTCCCTTTCACAGAAATAGCTACAATTTGATGGGAGCTTAATTAGTAACAAGAAAAAAAATTCTTCATGATTTTGCCTGGGAGATATTTTTTTTTAATGGCTTGAAAGGCAAATATCATCAGGCACTGTGATGTTCATGCATGGCTACATGTGTTAAATATTAAACTAATCTTAAAAAGAATGCCATATGTAAATGAAGGCCTGAATTATTCAATTAGCAATTCTTTCCCTCCATTCAGGGACTGAAGTGTGCTTCAACTGGGGGAAGCGTCCAGCGTGCAATTTAGCTGGCTTAGCAAAAACCAGGACGTTTTATGGAGGGTTTAATCCTATGCCCTGATTAAGCTGGAAATCATTGTCTTAAAGAGAAAAAAGAAAAAAAAAAAAAAAAAAAAGAAAGTTGCTATGCAAACACTTCACCTCTGGCCTCGTGCCTGCTTTGCCTGCCCCGGTTTGGAGCCCTGTGGAGCACACAGCTGCCTGTCTGCAGCGGCACAACACGGGCACCGTGCACGGGGGCCTTGTCGGGGCTCTGCAATACAGACAGAGAACAAAAATAACATAGAGCTGTCTATTTCCTCCGAGAGCAGAGTGTGGAGTGATGGAAGAAGTGAGAGCATGGAGCCCAGTAAGGCTTTAACAATAACATCTATGCAGCAGAGCTAAATATCTAGCCCAGAGCTTCATGAGACCAGTACAGGCACCATTTGCTCTTTCAGGCATTGTTCAAAAAGTATACCCCTCTCCTGCTCTGTTTTTATACCCGTCACATTCAAAAGATACATGGCCAATACTTGCCCCTGCTTTTATTTGAGCAAAGTATTCAGTTCACCAAAGCCACCTCTCTATAGCGGCAGGAGGATACATAGTTCTGAGTGACCTACTGCAAAGTGACAAGAGCTGATGGGAGCATGCTCAAAATTTGCACACGTTTGCAATTTTTTGGTGTTTGTTTTGCTCTGGCAGAATACAGCATTTCAGCTGCAGCCATTGCCATCTTCAGCGTTGGCTTTGCAATCATCGGAACAATCTGTGTCCTCTTATCCTTCACGAAGAAGAGGGACTATCTGCTGAAGCCAGCATCCATGTTCTACACCTTCGCAGGTAGGAGGCTCAGTGCTCACGTTTGCACTCAGTTCACAGGACAACAAAGAGAAACTCAGACAGATCCTGGGAGGATGGAGTTACTTCTAAAAATGCCCTGAAAGTGGCATTTTCTTCCTAGCCATAGTCAGACTACAAGTCCCTATGTGGTGCTCCAGCTGAAGAGCTCTGATAATCTCCTGCCTAGCAGGTGTAACCCCATAACCCAGCAGGTTGTCTGTATTTTCTCCAACTACCTTTAAAAGGGGCACTTCTAGAATGTTCCGTGCCAGCCCGAATCTAAACCAGGGCTATACACTATACTATCTTATTTATTAAGACTTAAGCCAAAGAAACAGCTGGTCCAGGCCAAAATTATACAGCTGACTTCCAAAAACATAAAAGCTTCATTTTTATACAAGCCATACCTTGGCATGCCACAATGACTGAAAGACAGATGTGCAAATTGTCACTTCAATAAAAATCTTACTCAACCTTTGGAAAAACTCTCTAGGGAATGCAATTATTCCTCCACCACTTTGAGTTGCCCATCCAAACCTGTCTAAAAGATCACACACAACAAGTCACCAGCTGACTTGGATGGCCCGGGTTACAGCAGAGCTCTAAGCAGTTGCAAGCATTGGTTTCTTCAAACATTGAAGTCAATGACTCACCTGTGAATCTCACTGCAATTCCTGTATGCAAAAAGACAGATGAGGTGGTTAATTAAGGATGAAAAATTGACAGCTGGTTATTCAACCCACTGCTCCTATCTTCCTTCAGGTCTCTGCATCATCATCTCTGTTGAAGTCATGAGACAATCTGTGAAAAGGATGATTGACAGTGAGGAGACGGTCTGGATTGAGTACAGCTACTCCTGGTCCTTTGCCTGTGCCTGCGCCTCCTTTGTCCTGCTCTTCATCTGTGGCATCGCGCTCCTCCTGATCGCGCTGCCTCGCTTCCCCCAGAACCCCTGGGAGACCTGCATGGATGCAGAACCGGAGCACTGATGTTCCCAGCACCCATGACAAAATCCAGAAAGTGTTCTGAAAAGATTTGTATTTTTTAAAACGTCTGAGTCTCACTATACAGTGTGCACTCCATTAACTAAGTCATTATTGAACCAAGGCATGTTCAATTGTAATTATTGCTTTGTTTCTTTTTTTTTTTTTTAAAAAAAAAAAAAAGAAAGCAGAAAGAGCATTCAGCACCAGCATGGGCTGTGGCTGAATAGCACTGCTCTGTGTCAATTTGGGGGGTGCTCTGTGCTGGTGCAGTTGGGGGAAAATCCATTTGTGAGACAGCTCATGCCACAGAGAAAATAGCTTTCTTAGGGAGAAGATGTTTGGTGTAGATCCATGAGGGATATCGAGCTTTTATACCTCACTTGATCAGAGAGAGTGAGAAATACTAGCTCTGTGAGGAGTCCATTTCCTCATTCATGTCATACTCCTCTACTTCCCTAAGAAGGGTTAGCCTACCACTCTGAATAAGTTGGAGATCCTTATGCTATTCTATCAAACTGTTAAAATTTGGAAAACAAAAAACAAAATAAAACAAAAAAACACACCAAAAAAAACCCCAAAACAACCAAACAGAAAAAATTTGCCTAGCATTGGGATAAATTTTCTCCTACAAATTTACACCATGCAGTTACATTCTTTTGAATTAAGCACAGGAAACCCACAAGATACAGGGTTTTTTTTCTGCTTAAACTTTGATGGCAAAATGAAGTATGAACATTAAGAACAATATTTTCCTTTAATAAAAAGCATAATCTTCCAGTAGCATGATTTTCTGGAAAATTATTTTGATAGATGAATCATTTGGCCCATCAAACTCTGCTAGGTCCAGAATGACAGTGTAATTCTGGATGGTATTTGCTGTACGGAGCTCTCATTTGTTCCTCGTGAACGGGCTTTTTAAGAATACTGTGCTTTGCTCACTGCATACGTAAATAAAACTACATTTTCAGAAAAATCCTTCAAGGTAGCTGCCAAGAAGGAAAGGACTTAGCCTGAAATACCCAGAAGTCAGCCCCAAAGATACTACAGAAGTGCATTCCTGTTTACGCCTGCTTGAAGCAGGGTCCTCACAGGGCAGCGCTGCCGGGGGATGCTGCGGGGGCCGGTGGTGTTGCAGAGCCCCCCCCGGCTCTCCGTGCAGCCGCCTGTGGCACTGGGGGGGCTGGGGGTCCCCCAGCCCCGTGTGCTCACCCACCCACTCTGATCGAGCCCTTTGCACCATCACAGTCTCCCGGCACCAAGAGGTGGAAGCCTTTTTTTTATTTTACAGTCCAATTTTTAGGAACTGCTCAGCTTTTTCCCCCCAGGTAGGAAAAGGCATGTGTGTTACATCACGTTTTTTTCACCCGGTAATTTCAAAAACAGAAGAAAAGGAAACTGAAGCGTCCTTCCCTGGGTGCTTAGCTATCCACAGTTCTAAGGTAAAACAGAATTTGGAACAGAAAACTCCTGATCAATTTGAAGAGATCTGAAATGGCCACATGTTCAAACATTTCAAGAAATTACCTGGCAATTTTGTGCTGGTACAAGGTGCTGCCCACAGCCCTGCTGCCAGCCAGACCCCGTCCGGGCACGCTGAGCCCCAGCAGCCTCCAGCCAGACTCAGGCATGTCTCCATTTTCCCATCAGAGAGTGGCAGCAAGAACAGAAACCTTTTGTGGAGCTGCATTAATATTTTTCAAGCTCTTTGAAGTTGAAAAGCACTACAAATAACACCTATATTATGAAGTTTTTGGATAAAGCATTCATTGGTGCTCAGATCTGAGTATGAGCTGGGGAACTCTGCCTGTCTCTCATCATGAGAGACAACTGCAAGTCTTCAAGTTGTCACTGAACCACTCAGAAACGCTAAATGGTTTTGAAATCTTATTTTTGGGTACAGAGCTGACATTCTTAATTTGCATTTTCATTGTTCAGGAAAACAGAGGCTAGTTTCTAGGGAGATCCTTTACATGCAACAACAGAAAGGAAAGTCGCTGATGTGACCCCTGCGGTGGCTGACCCCGGGTTGGGATAGTCAAACACACAATGCAGATTAATCTCAGCAAAGCAGCTGGCAGGCACAAAGGCATTCCCAGCTCAGCCACCACCACCAAAATGACCTCACCTTGGACATGCAATGGATTGAAATAAGTGAGCTGTGGGGATGTGCGTCTAAGTTCATCACCTCCTGAGGACCACCGGCATGTCCCGTGCCCCTGGGAAGCCCTTTGTCCACACCTTTTCTGAAGCACCATCCCTCTCTTGCAATGCTTCTTCTGGGAAAAAGTCATTTTTAGGTGGCTCGTTATCCCGATGGGTCAACTTGCTGCCCAGCCAAGGAACTGCTCACTCCCCTTCGTGATATTCAAGAGCAAGACATACATATTTCAGATAAACACATCCTGGAAGGTCTCATCCATCTCATGTGTGCTCCTGCTTGTGTCAGGGCTGAACCACTTTGTCCAAGCCCCAGGGAGGTCAATGGAAAGATTCCCAGTGAGCGTTGGGGTTTGGCCTGGATCCAGAGGTTTTACAACCTCTCTGGGCTCACTTTACTCATGAGGCAGAGCAAACACACAGCTCATGGCAGTGAGACCGTACACCCACAGACAGCAACTCAGGCAGCTGAGCTGCATGCCTCCTAAAGCTCTTAAACTCGCTGAGCTTTATTCTCTGTCTGCTCTAAGTTGAGGCTTTTTGATCATTCGCTACTTTGTATAGTCCCTGCAAGACTGAGAAGCATGCAGATGACTTCATTTTCTTTTTCCAGATATTGAGAAATGCTGATGAGGGACTCGTCCATTAAATTGGTCATTGGTATTCACAGTGGCAAAAGCACTGCTCCTCCAGCAGGTTTGTTCTGCCATATCTAAATCCCTCTGCCAGGGAGCTGATAATGTGTTTTGAGAGCATTAATAAAAGTAATTGGCCTTCAAAAAGGAAAAAGAAGAATATAATGCTGAGGGGTAGCTGTAACCAGTTTCAGTTTTCATCCTCCCAGCTGGGCAAATAGCAGGGAATGGCCACCAAAACTTCAGGAACACAGCATGAAAACATGAAAGAAAAGTCCTCACGGGCAGGGAGAGTCATCAGAGTGAAACAGGGATGAAAACACGACTGCTATGCAACAAACAGGAGCACACACAGGTTTGGGACACGGCCAGAGAACCGAGTGGGAAACACGCACCAGAGAAAAGAAGAGGCAAATTAGTTCACAGAACAGCTACCACAAAATCCTGAGCATCGGTCCTGCCATGACCAGACCCATGGACACCTTTGGTCACGGGCCCCTGGGGCACATAGCATTTGCCACTCCGTAAACCAACATCACTGCCTGTCCCCTCCTCAGGGCACCACATCACACAGTATTGTGAGCTTTTGGTTGCTAAAGTCTGCCTGCAGCACTGCAGAGCCCAAGTGTTAAATCACAGAGTCAATGTAACAGAAGACACGAAGTTTTCTGTTTATGTAAGAATAAGGTCTGCTGTTAGGCACAAGGCATAAAGAGAATCTGCTTCCCTTATTTTTAAATGCTGTGTTGTGTGAATTTAATGTGCAGAAAAGGTGCCAGACTAACAACCCTGAAGAACAAACTTGCCTGTTTAGCAAGCAGCTAGCGGAGCGCTCGGAACAGCGTTTATCGCAGAGGTACGGCAGCAGTCACAGCCCAGCGCCGGGACGGAGCGCTCGCCCCGGGCTCACAAGTCCGCCGGGTCTGTAGCACACAAGGGAGCACAGATGGGTGCATGCAGTGAGGGTTTCATTCAGCAATCTTGGCATAAACCTCTACTTTTTCCTTAGTCCCTGCCTGAAAAGGGCCAGTATACGCACAATGCTCGGGTACTTGACCACCCTGGAATGTAGCCTGCAAAGGCACAGGTATACTTACTTATTTGCTATTTTTCTTTCCCCTGATCCATTTCCACTCTGTCACTTCCTTGTGACCACCACCTCTTTTTTTTTCCCCCTCTCCTTCCTTTGACAGTTTTAGAAATTATTTCCAGAAACTCTCAGAGATCTGAGAATTCACACACACCGAGATCCTTGGCCCTGCTGCAGAGGGACACTTTCTCTCCCAGGCGCGACAGCTCCCGAGGAACACAGCCGATACAAGAGGTCAGCAGTGTCCAGACACGGCTGTTTGCAGCGCTACATCCTGCCAGCCCCACGGAGACCCTTGGAGATTAACACCAAGCCCTTGGGCTCCATCCTGTGTGCTACAGACACTTGCATGCCAGGAACCTGACTAATGTGCAGAAATGGTTTACAGAATAAACCTGTTTAAACTTCAGTTAAAATAAGCTTCCACTTTCCACAGTGTGACAGCGTCCCTTTGAATGCTGTATTACTTTTTTAACTTAAATACTATTAGAGAGTATTAGACTGCTCTGTACCATAAGCGACACACACAACAACAGGATCTGGTTTAAATGCATCCATTTAAATTATTTCCCCTTTCCATTAGCACCCAGGGGCAAGAAAAGAGCATCACATCTTTGTTTTGACTGAAGCAGAGGATGAGATTGTTCCTGCTTTGTCATACTTGATCAATGTTCTGGCTCTAGTGAAGCTGTTGAACATAAATCCAAGCTATACAGACATCACATATGCACACTCTGCCTCTAGACAGACAGTGAACTGCTTTTCTCCTTTCTACCAAGAAATGCAGACAAGGGAATGATCTCTCACATCTGGCCAACTTCCTTTTTAACAGCACCAGCAGCACAAGCCTGGTTTGGCAGGGCTGCACCCCGGGGCTCGGGTTCAGCTCTGTGCCCACTGTCACCGGTCTCACTGGGAGCACCGCGACGGCTTTACAGCCGGTCTTGTGAAAGTATTTGCTCTTCAGGCAGGAGCAGGTCCTACATAAAATGGACTGACAACATCTTCTATCTAGTCTTGGATAATTCAGATCACAGAGCATTTTCTGCAATTTATCAGAAGCATCTATTAATCCTTAATGAAGTAACTACTTTTCAACATTTCTCAACTAAAGCTAAAGGTGCCAAAAACCCCACACCAA